TCCTCCTCCTCCTCCTCCTCCTCCTCCTCCTCTCCTCTTCCTCTCCTCTCCTCTCCTCCTCTTCCTCCATTCCTTTTCCTCGTAAGCGACTTCTCCACGTCGCACCGCGAGGCCGGTGTTCAGGGCGGGCCCGGCGTTCCGCCCGAGACCTCCTCACCACTCGTGTCCCTGCAGCTAAAGCATTGGCAGCAGCTTCACAGGTGGAGGGCGGATCGTTTTTTTAAATGTGGCCCTCGCCCTAGCGCGGCGCACGTGAATTTCAAAACATGCAATAGCTTCATGGATTGGGGGCGGGTGGTTTTCAAAATGTGGCTCTCGCCTCAGCGCGGCACACATTCGTGTTAAACATTTGCAAGAGTTTCACATGTTGAGGGCGGGTGGTCCTCAAAATGTGGCTCTCGCCTTAACGCGGCGAACATGCGTTTACACATTTGCAAGAAGTTCACGGATTAAGGCGGTTCCTTTTCAACATGTGGATCTCGCCTCAGCGCGGCGCACATTCGTGTTACGAACTTGCAAGTGTTTCACGGATCCCCATCATCAACGTGCCCGAAATTGTGTTTTGAAAGGATTCAGGGTTACGCGGGTGCAACAATTATGTTGGTTCGCAATGTCAAAATCATGGGGGAAAAAACCTTTTGGCACGATTCAATATTGTCTAGACGCAACCGTCAGGTTGATACGTGACCTTGAAATCCCGAGAACAATGTTTTGGCATGCTTCAAGGTCTACAAACGGTTGTCTTCCAAAGAAGAAGTTCGTTCAATGGAAGTGAGGCGTTGTAGGGGCCTATGAAGAGGGAGCTTCGAGGGAGGGTTTATTCCAACATCGTTGATGACTCTTGGGTTTACACTGGTCCTCCTCCTCTTCCTCCTCTTCCTCCTGCATCTCCTCCTCCTCCTCCTCCTCCTCCTCCCCATACCTCCTCCTCTCCCAAAGGATGCAAGAGAAGGGTACTAGGGCCTTGGAAGGCCATGTCGACACTTTGCGGGCGGGGCGGCCAGCGAAAGCGGCCAAGGATGGCCGGGAGGGGGTGTAACCTTGGCAAGTCGCTCATCCTCGCTATGCGGGATGACTGTAACAGGGGATCTGTCGACCCCTATCCCATGCTTCGCGAGACTGGCGAACGGACGAACAAAACATGTCAGCCCAACGCTCGGAGATATAGGCAAGAGGGGCGTCCCACCTCGACAGGGGTGCGTCCGATTCGCCCCCCTGGGGTGCATCCCCGGATTGATTTTCCATGGAAAGGTCGGGGGTCGGGGGTTTGGGGCGAGGAGTCGCCTGCGATGTGGGCTCCCGAAGCCCTGCACGGGCACCCGGGGCCCGTCCGCGCAGCGTCTCGGGAGGATGGGCTGGTCCCGGGGGAGGGCCCAGGAATCCAAGACGCGGCTCCTGCATGCCAATACTCTCGCCGTTGCTCGGACGTCCATTTCCCTTGCATGCTTATGCATGTGTAAGGCTCCGTGCGGATCGTCTTGCACGAGGACCCACGGGTGCTTCTCGATAGTCCTCGCCAACAGAATGCACACGCCCGAGCGATGCCCAGTGCTGTGCTCTGCTCCGGCCGGGCTGATGGGGAAAGGTCGAGCAGGGACCGACAGTCCCGGCATTCCTATAGTCATACCACGAAATGCTCTTAGAACCAAAACATGTTCCAATAACGCAAACACTATTATTAAAACATTCACCCCATGTGCTAAAACAAGGCAGTCCTAGTCAGACATGTTCTAAGAACATTTCTTGCGAACCACAAGAAGGTCTTAGAACATTGTTTGGTGGGGCTATAGGCGAGCTGGGACGATTTGCCACTGCTTGAAAAGGAGGGAAGAGCAAGACGACGACGACGAAGAATCGACTACACGCAAGAGTGACCCTAGGTAAGTGTGGCCTCTGGTGCGCGGCCTCGGGGTGACCGCGGGGTAGGACACTCCCCCAAGCGCGCAAGACGCTAAACTCTCGCATCGCATCCGGCGACCGGCAGACACCCCCATTGGGCCCGCACCACAGGCCACTCCGGCGAACGCTCACTCTCGGGGATGGACAGACCTCCCTTTAGTAAAACGTGGTTTAGTGCAAACGACCTGAGGCCCAAACCTGGCAAGCGCAAGCCTGGAAAATAACGGCCGCGGCGCCCTCTCGAGAGCCGATAACGGACAATTCACGAATCGACGTGTCACTGTTGGGGTCTCTGTCCGCCCCCGACACTCTTACGTCTAGTCGAAAGAAGGCCCCTGGCGAGAGGCCAGGGCCGGCGCGAGCCACGCGGGCCAGCGGGCAGGGACGCGGGGGACACAGCGGGCAGGGAGCACGGGGCGGGAGGCGAGGAGGGAGCAGCAGGGCGAAGGCGGGACGACCAGCACGGCTAGCACGGCGGCTTCTGGCACCGCGGGGGCCGTTCAACCCTGAGCCGTCGCCGCTCCTCCGATCGAGCAGTGCATTGCTCGGTACCTGATGGGCCTGTCTTCCACCACCACCACCATAAGTTGGAGGGTGGGAGGAGGAGGAGGAGGAGGAGGAGGAGGAGAAGGAGGAGGAGGAGGAGGAGGAGGAGGAGGAGGAGGAGGAGGAGGAGTAGGAGGAGGAGGAGAAGGGGGACCCCCTCCTCCTCCAGCTTGTGGTGGTGGTGGAACACAAGCCCATCAGCATCGGCCGATGCCAGGATTCTGGCGGCGTTCAGCCTCGAACGCCCCGGCTCAGGGCGCCGCCGGGCGGACACGGCACGAAGCGGGGGGCACGGGAGGGCAGCTCGGGGGCAGCGGGGGGAGCAGGCCAGCGACGGGCGAGGCGGGGGGGGGGCAGAGGGCGAGAGCAGACCCGAGGCGCAGCGGCGATGCTGCGATGCAGCCTCCCGCCCCTGGCCCCTATCCCCAGAAGTCCCTGCATGTCTCCTGCGTCACGGTGCGAAGCGGCGCCCTGACTGACTACCTACTAGACCACCCCAACCCAACCCGAAGACCCGAGTTTGACCCGAATTTCGGGTTGGGGGGGTACAGATACCATGTGTTCTTTTCAACGTTCCCCGACCCCCCGCCCACTGGAAATGGAAGGCAAATTGAGGGCTTCGGGTTGGGTTGGGGTGCTTTGGTGGGCGGTGACTGACACAGGGCGCCATGCTGGGCCCACACAGTCCAGGCGGGAGCTTGCTGTGTCCAGCGGCATCCTGGCTTTGAGGAGGGTCCACCCTCCACTCATGTAACTGTTACACAGTGTGGTACTTCTGGCAATGAGCATTCAAAAACACATATGAAGAGACAGCCGTCTCAACATAAACAGCCCTTCATCAGCCCTTTTGGCTGAAGTGGTCTATCGAGAATTCTCTTTCCTTTTGCGAAACAAGAACACAACCTCTTCCCTTTGGGGAGGGGTGCCCTCCCCCTCCCACTCCCTTCGATTGTCTGGGGCGGGCCGCGAGGTGCAGAGCGTCCAAGGTGGCCCCATGCGCCTCCAACAAGACATTCGATTACCCCCAAGAGGCCCCAAAACTTTCCCCAAGAGGCCCCCGAAAGCGCTTCGAAAAGACCCCAACAAGCATCCCTGAGGACTCTGACCCACAATCCAAACACGGTGGCGGGATGGGCCAAAAGCAATTCGATAGCGGGATGAAATCACATGCGTGTGAACAAAATATTGAACGACATCTTAATCCCAGAAACACCTGATTACATACATGCAGGCGGAAACCAGATCCACCCAATATTAAGACAACCAAAGATCGGAGCCGCACATTCCAACATCAGTTCCGCTGCAATTGCCTTCCTGCGTTCCCTTGCCACTCCTGCCGGCGCCCATTCCAGGTCCAATGGGGAACAACTGTTTACGTATAAGCCTCCCAGAGGGGGTCGGTGTAGATGGGGTCAGGGTGTTTCGCCGTATCGCCGATACATCGGCGATGCATTAGCGATGTATCGGCGATGCATCGGCGACGTCGGCGATGCAACGGCGGCGTCCGCGGCGAGCCGCATCGCAGATGCATCGGCGATGCGGCGCAATCATCCAACCCCATCTGGGAGGCCCAGACTGTTGTCCTGGGATGTATGACGAGCCCGGGAGTTTCTAGAGGACGGCCCCGACCACGGCCCCCCTTTGGATAGCAGACGCACAACAAAACCAAAGTCAAAACACATGCAGCAAAGACAACCTACTTTCAAAGCAGGTCCCCTCCCTCTCGAGCCGAGGTCCTGGGGAAGAGGAGGGGGGTGGTCGCTGGGGGCGGTCCTAAGGGGGGGTGGGGTGGAGGGGGTCACGTGGGGGGGGGCGAGGCAAGCAGGGCTCACAAGGGACCCCACAGGGGCTCGCGAGCGTCGTCGTCGCCGTCGTGGTCGTCTTTGTCGTCACCGTTCAGGGTCAGCGGCAGCGGCCGTGAGGCCTTCGCCATTGATGAGCCCATGTTCCACCACCATTACCACAGGAGAGGGGGGAGAAGGAGGAGGAGGAGGAGGATGAAGAGGAGGAGGAGGAGGAGGAGGAGGAGGATCAGGAGGAGGAGGAGGAGGAGGACCTCCTCCTCCTCCTCCCCCACCCCCCCCGTCCTAAATATGGCAAATGGTGGTGGAAAACTTGCTCCTCAGCCACATCCCCTCCCTCCCGAGCCGAGCGCCTCATGCTGCTTGGTGCGCCCTCGAGCCCCGGCGCTTTGCGCGCGCAGTCAGTCGCTAAGGCAGGCGGCAGGCGGCGCGAGCGGGAGGATACCGAGGCAGGAGGGCGCCAGCTATCCACACACAGCCAGCCTGGCTAAGCCTCGACGTCTTCCTCCTCCTCCTCCTCCTCCTCCTCCTCCTCCTCCTCCTCGTCCTCCTCCTCCTCCTCCTCCTCGTCCTCCTCCTCCTCCTGCCTCCTCCTCCTCTTCCTCCTGCTTCCTCCTGCTTCCTCCTCCTCCTTCTCCTCCTCCTCCTCCTTTCACGAGCGGCGAACATGTCAATATCCGCGCCCTCGCGGTCTGGATTCCGGGGGGGGGCTCCTGGGGATACGCGGTCGCACGGATACGTTCCGCGCAAGGCATCCACGGAAAAAACGCAAACCGTACCCGCGAGGTCGCGGCCCGTGGGCGCAACCCGCGAGGCCGAGGATACGTATCCACTGTTCGCCCATGGCCCATGATGTGCCCCGATCCTGGGCTCCGGGCTAGAGTCCTCCCAGATGGGGTCCAAGTGGATGGGGACGGGGGATCGAGGGGCACCGCCAATGCGTCAGAGATGCATGTGCGATGCACTGGCGACGTCGGCGATGCCTCGGCGCCATCGGGGGTGCGAAACCTTGGGTCCACATCGAGCCGCATGGTCAAAAACTCGTCGATGCGGAGCGACCCTTCGACCACATCCGCTTCGACCATATCTGGGGGGCCTAATGGGATGGGCCTGGTCAAGATCGGAGTGTGTGTGTGTGTGTGAATGTGTGTGTGAATGTGAATGTGAATGTGAATGTGAATGTGAATGTGAATGTGAATGTGAATGCGAATGTGAATGAGAATGTGAATGTGAATGTGAATGTGTGTGTGTGTGTGCGCTTGTGTGCGCGTGTGCGCGCGTGTGCGCTTGTGTGTGTGTGCGTGTGCGTGTGTATGTGTGTGCGTGCGTGCGTGTGTGCGTGTGTGCGTGTGCGTGTGTGTGCGTGTGTGCGTGTGTGTGTGCGTGTGTGCGCGTGTGTGTGTGTGTGTGTGTGTGTGTGTGTGTGTGCGCGTGTGCTCGTGTTTGCTTGTAGTTTTGTGTGCGGGTGTGCGTGTGTGCGTGTGCGCGTGGTTGCGTGTGTGCGTGCGTGCGTGCGTGCGTGCGTGTGTGTGTGTGTGTGTGTGTGCGTGTGTGCGTGTGTGCGTGTGGTGTGTGCGTGTGTGTGTGTGTGTGTGTGTGTGTGTGTGTGTGCGGGTGTGCGGGTGTGCGGGTGTGCGGGTGTGCGGGTGTGCGGGTGTGCCTGTAAGTGCGTGCGCGTGCGCATGCGCCTGAGCGTGTGCGTGCGCGGGTGCAAGCGCGTGTGACCGCGTGTGCACGCGTGTGAGCGCGTGTGCGCGTGTGCGCATGTGCGCGTGTGCGGGTGTGCGCGTGCGCGTGTGCGCGTGTGCGCGCGTGTGCGCGTGCGCGCGTGTGCGCGTGCGCGCGTGTGCGCGTGCGCGTGTGCGCGGTGTGCGCGTGCGCGCGATGTGGGCGTTTGCGCGTGTGCGCGCGTGCGCGCTTGCGCGTGTGCGCGTGTGCGCGTGTGTGCCCTGCCCTGGCAGGTCGCATCGCAAGGCCTTCTGCAGGCTTTGTCCAGGCGCCGCCTTGGCTCTCTGCCTCGCCCTCCTCAGGGCTGACTACCCACCAGACCACCCCAACCCAACCCGAAGACCCGCATTTCGGATTGGGGGGGGTACGGGTTCCATGTGTGTGTTTTTCAATGTTCCCCGACCCCCCCCACTGGAAATGGAGGGCAAATCGAGGCCTTCGGGTTGGGTTGGGGTCGTTTGGTGGGTGGTGAAGGGCTGGCTGGCCTTGGCCGTCCCCTGGCGGACCCTCGCTCTGCTCTGCCTGGTTCTCCGGCCAGCCTTTTCGCCCCCGCGCCTGCCGCCCCGGCCTGGCCGTGCTCGCGGCTCCGCCGCCGGGGCCCCTCGGTGCACGGCCCGCCCCCATCTCCCGCGCCCCGCAGGTCCGCAGAGCTCGGCGCCCACCGGCCTCAGCTGCTGGACCCCTGCTGGCGCCTCTCAGCGCACCCCCAACTTTGGTGCTGGCCATCGCTCGGACGTCCATGCCCTGCTTTTTGTTTCTGTTTCGTGCGTGGCTTTTTTCACGAAGTGATCAAGGATACTCCTCGATGGTCCTCGCCGAATGAAAAATGCACACGTCCGAGCGATGCCGAGGGTGTGGTCGTCTCGGCTGCCACTTGGCAGGTCCGAAGACCTCAGCGCGTAGCCGCATCGCGGTGCAGCGTGCCAGGCTCCCCCATCTGGTGTGGCCCTCGTTGGCTCGTCAGTCGCCTGGAAGGTCTGAAGATCTCAGCGCTCAGCCGCTTCGCAGTTCCCCGTGTTCTCCACCCCCGGGGCCTGCGCCCGGCTGCCTTCGGACTGCTTTCGGGGATCTTCTGACCCAGGTCAATCCAGACCCAGGTCAGCAGGAACCCAACAACTGCAATGCAGGAAAAAAACTGCAACGCAGGTCTTCGCAAACCCGGGTCAGCCAATATGCGCGGCCGCCTCGCGGCCACGAGCGGCTCGCTAACCCGGGTCAGCCAGAAGGGGTCTTTGCAGGATCCTGCAGGATCTGGCGCCCTGGCTGACCCCGGCGCCGCCGCTGGCTCCCCACCCTGGCGCCCGCCCTGCCGCCGCCGGGACTTGCCCGAGTGGGCCCAGTTTCATCTCGTGCGCACCGCGGCCCAAGTTGTCTTTTGCGCGCCCCACGAAAGCCACATCGCAGGAGCAGTATCATCTGCTCAGCCGCCGATGGGAGAAGAAGTGCGTGTGTGCATGCGTGCGTGCGTGCGTGCGTGCGTGCGTGCGTGCGTGCGTGCGTGCGTGCGTGCGTGTCTGTGTCTGTGTCTATGTCTGTGTCTGTGTCTGTGTCTGTGTCTGTGTCTGTGTCTGTGTCTGTGTCTGTGTCTGTGTCTGTGTCTGTGTCTGTGTCTGTGTCTGTGTCTGTGTCTGTGTGTGTGTGTGCGTGTGTGTTTGTGTGTGTGTGTGCGCGTGTGTGCGTGTGCGTGTGCGTGTGCGTGTACGTGCGTGCGCGCGCGTGTGTGTGTGTAGTTGGCGCCCTCCGACGAGGAGGCCCGCGCGCGAGCTCAGTGGCTGTCCTGGGCCGAGTCCTGGGAGTCCTCCTGCAAGGCCTGCCACGTCCTCTCCACCGCGGCGCTCCCGGCCTCGGGACATGCCAAGAGCACGGCACGGCGAGAGGCCCTCCAGAAGCTTGGCGGCGAGCCCAGGGGGGTATCGGATCTGGATCCTAAGATCAAGTAAGGAGCCGAACTGTATACACCGACGCTTTTTCTGGCCCCGCACTGAACCTCGCACAGGAAAGCGGATCCTGGTGTATACGGGATCCTGGTGTATACATTTTTCGTTGTTTCCCCGGGAAAGCGGGGAAACAGTGTACACCACACCACCCCCGCCCCCGACCCTAAAAAAACCCTGAGATTGAAAAACAGCCCGCCACTGGTAATGTATATGCTCCAGTTTCCGATCAAGCTGAAGAGCAGTTCGACCCCTTGCAGGAGGGGTGCAATACGAAGCTCGCTCCCCGAGCATATTTGGACGCCCGAAATTGGGTACGGAAAGAATGGGTACAATGCCCAACAACAATCGTTGTCCCAAACCAACAGCGGCCGCTGTTGGGCAGGCGGCCTTCTGTCTCGAATGGACACAGGCCGCGGCGGCGTGGACAGCGAGTCCTGTTCAAAATGGCCAAGATCCGCTGTTGGGCATCGTGCCCATTCTTTCCGTGCCCCTTTCGGCCGTCCACACACAGAGGTGACTCGCCCGCGCGCTCGCAGCTGGCCGGCAGGCCGAGGCCCATCACGACCTGCTGAGACAGGGGCACCCGTTCGGGCCCAGCCCGAGCCCCTCTTTACCGAGCCGCAGCAGCAGAAGCTTCGCCGCTGTTGCTCACTGCACCCGTTTAGGAAGGCACCAACTATACACCAACACCGATCCTGGCCCAGGATAACCCTGGGCCCAGGATCGGTGTATACGCCCTCCTGCCTTGCGCAAGAAGGCACATACACCGATCCTGGGCCCAGGGTGGTCCTGGGCCAGGATCGGTGTTGGTGTATAGTTGGTGCCCTCCGACCATTCTCTCCGTGCCCATTCCGTTCGTGCAGAGCACAGCCCCGCGGCGAGCCGGCCACGGGCCGGACCCCTCGAGGCCGCAGGCCGGTGCTTCCGACGATGCCCGATCGAGGGGTGCACCGGAGAGCTCCGCAGCGGCCGGGCAGTGCCACGGGCTGGGCCCCCGCGAGCCGGAGGGGGGGCCTTCCACGGGGCTCGCCCCTGCGCGGTCCCTCCTCTCGCTGAGGGCTTCACGGCTTCTGCTGCCCCTCGACTCGCGCTGCAGCGTTCACGGTCTGCTCCAGATTTCTCTGGACATCTCCGGACCTGCCTCGGCTCTGTCTGGATTCTGCCTCAGTTTGCCCGGAATCTCATGATCGTACCGAAACGACACAGCAGTGTATAGCTCGAGCACGGAAACGATCTCGGCAAAGCAATACCGAGATCAGCACCGAGCCAATCTTTCGAGCCGATCTTTCGAATATAGCTCGAGCAGTGAACCGATCTCAGCGCCCTCGAGGTTGCGAAGTGTCCTTTCGACGATGCCCTTTGCCTGCCGCCTTCTGAGGAGGCCAGCCGCCCTTTGAATTCCTCCCCCAAGCTTGCCGCCGAGGACCGTCTCGAACCGGGCCACCTCGGCCCAGCACAGGGACAACGAAGAAGCGAGGGCTGCCTCGATGCCAACGTGTTGGGCGGAAGTAGCCTCCGTCGGTCTCGTCTCAAACGGAGCTGCGCTTCGCCAGAACCGATAGACTCCGTCAAACAGATGGTTGGCCACCCTCGAGCGAAGTCGGAACAGTACTGCTTGCAGCCTCTCGGGCACACGCTGACATGGAGTGCGGATCCGTGGACCTGGCGCTTGGGCTCCAGATCCACGGATCGGGGCAAGTGCCCCCCGAAAGAGGAAGCCAGTGCCGCCTGATCGGTAGACTTCGTTACAAAAAAAAGGCGCGACCCGCCGCTAATCCAGGTGCGTTGGCTCACGTGCGTGCGTCGTTCATCCATGCCCCCCTCCACATCGCTTCCCAGAGTCGCTTCCCCCCCCCAATGCCCTGTCTCCCCCCTCCCCTCACTGGGGGGAGCCGATCAGGAGGGGCTGGCTCGAGAGGGGGGGGGAGCACTGACCCGCCATCAGCGATACGCCGCCCATGGGTTAGCGATAGGCCCCAGGTATATAGCGAGACCGCGCGCTCTCGCGCGGGGTGGGTGGCCCAAGCCCCGATGGGGGGAAGGAGGATTTTGCCGCTGCGCCCTCTGCCCCCAGTCATGGGAGTCCCTGCTGCAGGCTGCGGAGGCCCGCGAGCTGCAGGCACCGGCGAGGACTGGTGCCTGTGGCCTGCAGGGCGGACACTGCAGGCTGGGCAAACGGGAGCGCCGCACGGCGCGGGAGAAAATGGCAACGCTGGCGCTCCAGGGCCCATGCACCCAGGCAAAGGCCCGAAAACAGGCACGGCAAGACGCCCCACATGACGACACAACCGAGCACCCGCCATCCCTCCTCAGTCTGAGCCAGACGACAGCCCCTCGGCTATCGCCTCCTCAGCGAGAGAAGCCTCCTCCGAGCGGTGCCTGGCCCTAACAAATGCAGGCGACGCCGAGGAGGAGGAGGCAGAGGAGGAAGCAAGTGGGGGTCCCTGCACAACAGAGTCATCGAAAGGAGTGTGCAGGGGGAGCAGGTACGCACAGGATGCGCGGGCCTCGGACGCTGCACGGATCGCAGGGTCCCGAAAAACAAAACTGGCCTCACCAGCGCTGCTCTGCGAAGCGGCGCTGGGGAGCTGAAAGACAGATGTGGACGAGGCGGTGCAGCGCCTCGGGCCACCAAGCCCCCTCCGACGAACATGACCGACCGACGACTCTCAGACGAAACCCCCGCCTCCTCGAGTCGAGCAGTGCTGCACTCCGTAGCAAGAGGAGCACCTGCCCTAACGTGCGCAGGCCTAGCAGCAGGCACCGCGGAGGAGGAGGAGGAGGAGGAGGAGGAGGAGGAGGAGGAGGAACAGGGCGCAACAAAGAGACGGGCCACAGCGAGTGCTTCCGCATCCAGCCAGGCTTCCTGCTTGGGATGCTTGCCCGCCAGAACTCGTTGCCAGTAATAGCGATCTGACTACAAAAGAGGAGGAGGATGAGGATGAGGAGGAGGAGGAGGAGGAGGAGGAGGACCCCCCTCCCCCTCCACCTTGTGGTGGTGGTGGTGGAAAACAGGCCCAGCACCGACAGATCGAACCCCACCTCCCCGCTTGCTGCCACCTGCCACCGTCCAGCCCCCCGGATGTTGGATGGGGGGAAGGAGGAGGAGGAGGAGGAGGAGGAGGAGGAGGAGGAGGAGGAGGAGGAGGAGGAGGAGGAGGAGGGGAGGAGAAGGAAGAGGACGAGGAAGAGGAGGAGGAGAAGGAGGAGACGAGGACGGAGGAGGAGAAGGACGAGGAGGAGGACGAGGAGGAGGACGAAGAGGAGGAGGAGGAGAAGCAGGAGGAGGAGGATGAGGAGGAGGAGGACCCCCTCCCCCCTCCCCCATTCGCCCGCTCCCCACCCCGTCCCACGCCACCCCGCTCCACCGCGGCAGCGCTCCACCGCTGGCTTCACCGCTCGTGGGACGGCTGCAGCGACGACGACGACGACAACGACGACGACGACGACGACGACGACGAGGACGGCGACGAGGACGACGACGAGGACGACGAGGACGACGACGAGGACGACGACGACGAGGACGACGACGAGGACGACGACGAGGACGTCGACGAGGACGACGACGAGGACTTCCTCGAGCACGCTTCGCTGATGGCGGCCCAGCTTCTGACGGATCTGCCCCTGCCCCTCCGACGCGCTCCCGAGCAGCTCAAGTCTCCCCCCCACGCTCCTGACGCGATGGAAGTATCCTTGCCACCACTCCGACGTCCATGCACCGTGCATTTTTTCAGTATCGTGCGTGTTTGCTCTCCTGCGGCCGCCTGAGGCCCCGCCCGCCCGCGCCCCGTCTCCCCAATTTAGGGCTGCTCGCGCCCCGTTTAGCTCTTGACCGGAAGGGGCCCGCTCCCGACCCGCAGCCTCCCCCCCCAAAAAAAAAGTGTTTGCTCTTCTCCTCCTCCCCCTCCTCCCCCTCCTCCTCCTCCTCCTCCTCCTTCTCCTCCTCCTCCTTCGCCAGCCTCCTCCTCCTTCGCCAGCTGGTCCAGGATACTCTGCGACGGCTCCCGCCGAGAAGTCTGCGTCCGCTGCCCAGGGCCGTGGCGACGGGGCCCGAGGGCTCCCGACCCCGGCGGAGCTCCTCGGCCCGCCGCGCCCGAACGCCGCAGGCCCAACCACGCGCAGTGCGTTTTTTTCCCAGGCGGGCCCCCCAAAGAGGTCCCGACCGCTTCCCCGGCGCCGGTTGCCCCTCGCGTCGGGGACTAGTGTTGTCGGACTGGGCGAAAGGGGGGGGGGTATAGCAAAGGGGGGGGTTGAGAATCAGCTCACGCAGCCGACTCTCCCGGCGCCTCCCGGCGCCGGAGGCGGCCATGTGTCGAGGAATGGGCCCCTCGGTAGGGCCGGAACCAGCTGCATGCAGCAAATTTCGTAACCCTCTCTTTCCCTATCCCCCCCTTTCGTCCGGCCCGATGTTAGTAGAGGCCTCACGATGGGGTCCGAGTGGATGGGGTCCGAGGATCTCGCCGCATCGCCGATACGTCGGCGATGCATCGCCGACGCATCGGCGATGCATCGGCCATGCGCTGGCGACGTCGGCGGTGCATCGGCGACGCCGGCGTGGAGAAAATGTGGCCCCACATCGAGCCGCAACGCTGCTGCATCGCCGTGGCATCGGCGATGCGGCGCGCGCCTCCGACCCCAACTCCTCCGACCCCATCCAGTAGGCCTAGAGTGAAGGGGGCGGCCTCCCTCGACAGGCCCCGCGTCGGCTCCACATCCCGACGGGAGGCCTTTGTGGCCGCCTTCGGCCTCCGGGGGGCCGCCGCCGGGCCCCACTGCCAAGACGCGGCCCCCAGGATGTTCGGACCCTTTCCCCGGGGCTGGTTGTGCATCGCGAGTCCAAGCGTGTCGTCTTCGGCACCGCCTGATCCCGAGGCTTAGCCTCCTCCTGGCCTCGCCGTGAGGCTGC